TGTTAGCCCAGTTACTTCCTTCTGGAGGTTCTGAGGCAGAAACTGCCTGTGCCTCTCCCCTCACTCCTGGTGGTTGCTGACAATCTCGGCCTTCTCTGGCTTGTAACTGCCTCACTCCAATCACTGCCTGTCTTCACAGGGCCTTCTTCCCTGTGTGTCTGTGGCTTCATGTGGTATTATAAGGACAACAATCATTGGATTTAGCCCATCCTCCCCCCAATTCAATATGACCTCATCTTAGCTAATGGCGTCTACAAAGACCCTGTTTGCAAATAACATCACATTCTGAAGTGCTGGGTGGACATGAATTTTAGGGGGACATTATTCAACCCAGTTATATCCCTCCAAACACCCCAGCCGTAGGCAATTATTAATCTTTGTCTCTAGATTTGCCTATTCTGAACATTTTTATGTTGGATTTTGAGGTTTTTACTTCATTGAAATAATGTCCTGTTTGACATTTTTGAGGGCAGAATATCCATTTATCATACTACAATTTGGTTATATTGCTTAATTTAATGCAATACCATATGGAATATACATTACTATTTAAGATATTTTAAATAGACTAGCCTTTAGGCTGTTTCAGCTCACTAGAATACACTATAATAAGTACATCGACAGGTTTGACATAGGTTATAATGACGGGGTTTTTTCTTAGTAATCTTAGTAATTCATAATTAGCGTCTTTTCTGACTTGGAATATTTTACAAAATTGTCACCAGCATAATGAGTAAAAATACAATATATTGGCAAGTATTTTTTCTATTACCCCCCCCAAAAAAATTTCTATCCTATAAAGTGTTCTATGTTCTTTTTAGTAGATATGTGATATGTTAATGTTACATTGTTTGCAGTGACACCATTTTGGAGACAGAGCAGTTTAGTTTATTCTTTTGAAACTCACAACATGAAAATGAAAGTTTAATGTCTTGAAAAAAAAGCTGCTGTAAAAAACAGTAATTACTTTATTACAGTCTCACAGAAAATTCTAAATCATGAAAATGAGCCATTTAATAAAGAACAGTAATTACTTTCTGACAGTCTCGCAGAAAATTCTAAATCATGAAAATGAGCCATTTAATAAAGAATTATTTAAGCAAGCAGTCTATATTCCTTTTGCCTTACATACTGTTAATAGCCAAAAGTTTGGATTTGCTGCATATGCCAGGATAAAGAACATATTTGGAATTTTGCTTTTTACAAGTAATACTATTAAAATATGCCAACAGCCTCAGAAAATTCAATCCACTCCAACATGGCACCAAATCAGCTCTCACTAAGCCTCAATAATTTGGTAATATGAAAGGACATTTTACAGGTTGCATCATTTACACTTAAAACCTTCTTCTGAATATTCTCCTTTCTCAACAATTGCCTCAAAAGACTGAAAAGCTTGGGTGTACTTTCATCTTCCTAACTTTTCTCCTTCCCAAGGTGATTCAAATTACTTTGGACCAAATTTTTAAAAGATCCATGCTGGGAAATTGTCTCAAATGTTATTCTTACTAACTAGAAAGCTCTTTGTTTTCCAGAGTTTTAAGCCTCCCCTAACAAAGCTGTAAAATGGGGATCTGATTTTATTCAATTCTTATAAGAGACTTCCAACCCTCTACTGAATTTATTTCCACCATCCATGTTTAATTTCCAAGAGCATTTTCTTTTTATGATTGTTCTTTTATATAGCATGTTCTTTTTTCATGTTATGTTCTCTAAGGATATTTTAGTTTCTTTTAACATTTTTTAATACTCTTGGTGTGTTTGTGTCCTCTGATTTTTTTTTTCTGTTTGCTCTTTCCTGTTGGAGTCTTTCTTCAAATATCTGATCCCTGGCTGTATTTATATTTAAAATGAGACATTAAAAAGTTGATAGGGGTTAGGGAGAGGATGAAGTGGGTAAAGGGGATCAAATATATGGTAGCTGAAGGAAACTGGACTTTGGGTGATAATCACAGAATAGAATATATAGATGTCAAGTGATAATGTACACCTGAAAATTATATAATTATATTAACCAATGTTACCCCCCAATAAACTTAATTTTTTAAAGTTAATTTTTGTGTACAAGGTGGGCTTAATTATCAGTGAACTTTTTCATATGATGAGAGAATGACCATTGGTTTTTGTTGGGGATCCATGAGAGATCATAGATATTTTGGGGAGAATGTTTGATTCTCTAGAAAATAATCTGACAAACTCCTGCCCCTTGCGTGGGGGTGGGCAGGTTGGGAAGAAGGTGACTATAAGCTTAGCCACAGGATTTCTGGAGCTTAGGCAAAGGGAACGCTTAACCATTCAATAAGAATAGTTTAGTCCCTCTTATTGGTACCATAATTTTCCCCCTAAGTACTTGATATTCTGGAATCTGAAGGCTTTTGTTCTCTTTTTTCAAGGAAAAAACCTAACCCCATCAGAAAAGGGTGATGGAGTTGTCACACTGGGTGGATTTATGGAGCTAGGTTCTAATTGCACTTTACATAGATTTTCACAGAATCCGCCCTTCTCTGTTAACTGTTGGCTTTTAATTACTGAGACTTTTCAGCCTTCTGTGTGGACACCTTAAAGGAATTTGACTTTCTTCCTCTCTCCTAAGTAATTTACTATTTAATCTTCTCCTATGTGCATTCAGCCTTCAAAAATTGTGGTTGGAGATTATGGTTATCCCCTAGTATAATCAAAGATGATGTTTTTCCTTGTTTTGCCTCTTATTTTTTAGATGATTTTCAAGAAGAAAAGGAGGTAGAAGTTTTTATTCTTTCATCTTGTAACTGAAACTTTCCTTTGTGTGACCCCACTCTCCTGATTTCTGCCTACTCCTTCCCTAACTGATCACCACTGAGTTCTGCATGCCTCAGCTCTAGGCTCTCATCATCTCACACATCACTCCACCTAGATGATCTCAATTGGGATTTGGGCCTTGCCTACTTCACCTTCACCAAGCATCATGCTCACCCACATTAAGCTTCAACCACCACTCGTATTTTAGATCTTTAGATAGTTTAAGTCCAGCAAAGAAGTCAATGGTCACAATGAAAGATTGGTTTAATACAGAGGATTGCTCAAAATAAATGTTAAGAATAATGGGAGCCAAGTTTCTCACTATCAAGGAAGTTTGAAATATAGGAGGAAAATAAAATGAATCCCATGATCTTGGGTTGGAAGTGAAAGTTTTTGTGAACTCGTAATTTTTAATATACAGAATTATGTATTGATGTAAATGTATGCTTGTCTATAGTATGTTTTCTCTAACAATGCCCATGAAAGGGCTTGGAAGCAAAGACATCACAATAGCAATGAGCAAACTTAGAGCTCAGATCTTGGCTTCTAAGTACTACCAAAAAGACCTAGGGCTTTTGGAGAAATGGCTGACTCCAGTCCTGGAGCAGAGAAAGTATAAGATAGCCTGGAGCATCTTTTGGGCCAGGAAGTGAAGAAGTGCCCAGAGAACCATGGGATATGTCAAAAGGACAAAGGAGCTTAAAGTGGTTCCCATTGGCCAAATTGTGGATGATTTGAGCATCAGTCTAAATAATGATAGTAATAGACTGTAACCCATTGAATAAAATTGAAAACCATGAGTCCACAATGGTAAGAATAAATAAATGAACAAAGTTTGGTGAGCAATAAAATTTTTATATACTTTTAAATTACCTCCCCCCCCACACACACACACAAAAACCCTTGTTAATGACATCACAGGTAATAGGACAAATCGAAATTGTGCACAACCCGACGGGTGCAATGTGAAGACCACAGCATCATTTCTGTGATAATCCTGCCAAAGATGCATAATCTGCATCCAATCATAAGAAAACAGATAAATCAACACTGAGGAATTTCTATAACTATCCATAATCTTTAATAGTGTTAAGGTCATGAAAGTCAAGGAAAGACTGAGGAAATGTTCCAGAATGAAAGAGATTGAAGAACTATGAGAAAGGCAACAATGATTCTGAACCGGATCCTTTTCCTTTAAAAGATATTGTTGGGACATTTGGCAAAACATGAATGGAATCTAAGGATTAAATGGTAATTATTCATCTATATTAATGTCTTGATTTTGGTGATTGTATTGTATTTCGGTTATGTAGAGAATGTTCTTGTTTGTAGAAAATACAACAAGCATTTGGGAAATGGAGCTTCAGGTCTGCAATATAGTCTTAAATGATTCAGGAGCAAAGTTCTTTGTACTATATAATTCTTCCGTAAATTTGTTTCAAAATGAATGAAACCGATTTTTAAAAAATAGACTAGGTTGCACCAGTTATTCCCAGTGCTCCTGTAGATTCCACTGTCCTCAAAATCCAAAGTGTGTGAGCATGAACAATAGTCAATCATCCCAAAGCACCAGGGACAAACCTGCACTCCAGCAAAGTCAGACTTATTGATTCGTTGTGACCAGGGAGACTGCACACCAGAGGAACTGTAGGGTGTCTCACCACACAGAAGAAAAGGGAGTTGTTGTAGGATATGTGGGAGAAATGGACTTTAGGTAAAATTTAAATAAAACAGTATTGTTAGGCTGAAAGCGAAGCAGAGCTGTGTGTAAAGGTAACATCAGAACTGGACTGAGAAGTTGATGTAAGGTCATATTTCCTTGGAAACTACAAAGTTAAGAAAATATGTACTTTTCTTTTCAGGAACCTCTAATCTGAGCTCCGCTCCTGGGTAGAAATCGAGACTGCTTCCCCGTTTCAGTGTCCTAGATCCCCCAGGCAAGAATGAGATGTTTCATTCCTACTGATAATAATTTTAAATAGCAACGTTTATGTAGACTTTAAAGGACAAGGTTTCTCAGTATGTAATAATGTAGTACTCATCCAAAGATGGGGGTTGTCACACTTTTCAGCTGCGGTCTGCCCTTACAAGAAACACTGTTTCCTGTTAATGATACAACTGGCTTTATCTGACACGGTCATCCATCCTCACGAACGTCTGGGCAGACTTTTACTTTCTCAGCAGTTACAAGTGAAAACACGACTGGGTCTCTCAAACCACGTTTAATCCTCCTCGGGGCCTTGCTGAATTTTTGAGTTTGTTTGACTCGCTTTCCTCATTTCGCTCTCCAGCCTCCCGTGCAGTCCCAGACCCTGCATCAGGATCAAACGCGATTCCTTCTCCACGTAGCGTTCAAGCCTCCCGCCTACCCAGGCCACAGACTCAGTACGAGGGGGCAGGGTGGGGTTGTGGCCTGCTCTTCTCAACTCCTATTGGGTAAAACCCACGCCACTCATCGCACCGGGGGCGAAACAGGAGGAAAAGGGCCTTTCCTAGGCGCGAGAAGATGACGTCACAGTAGTGGGGCCGGAACCTTGGGCTCTAGGCTTGCTGAGTGTGCGGACTGAAGACCCCTCCGGCCGAGACACCATCGCAATGACCATCTGTCAGTTCTTCCTTCAAGGCCGATGCCGCTTTGGAGAGCGGTGCTGGAACGAACATCCTGGTGTGAGTGGGGGACGGCAGCATCAGCCCTCAGGTGACGTTGCTGTCAGTCCTCCACCGTCGCTAGCCGAGCCGGGGAAGGTCTGGCATTAGATCTGATCGTCAGAAACCGGCGTCCCGCGTGGGGCTCGATTAAGCGCCGCGACGCACGGGTCAGGTGACGTGGGTGTGCCGGCGCCTTCCCCCTCGCTGGCCCTGCCCACCCAGCCCGACACACAGTTTTTCTCCAGCGTTATCATTCGGTTGGATTTTGTTCAGAGGGTAAAGGCAGGGCCTTGGTCCTAGATACTAATGCCAAACAACGAGTTTTAAGTCGGATGTACGTATCAAAACTACCCTGTCGGTGGGTGGCAGTGGTTCGGAGAATTGGTTTAGGGCTACTCAGACGCCTCCTTGCTTTACTACCTTTCTGGGTACCTGTGTTTTCCCCTTGACTCCTTGCATATAATTTTTATGAAACTTTTTTTCCAAAGGAGAGGCTAGCAACTGGGGTCAGAGTCAGGGCTCTTAACTTTGGGAAAGTCGCGAACGCCTTTGGAAATTTAATGAAAGTTACAGAGCCATTCCTCAGGCAAATGCACATGTTCATAACATTTGCAGTAACACTAGGAGGATGAGATGCGCAATTAACTCTGGGCATTGAGGGAACGGGATGTGGAGGACCACGTTGACCTAATTCCTGGGCCTACGTCATTGACGAAGCTTTTGGAATATTTCATTATGCCAATTGTGGATGATGCAAAAAGGACTGTCTTCAAGAAGAGAAGGGATCAGACATGAAACCATAGTACAACACAAAGTTTTAAAAGTCAGATGAAGAGTTTTTATTTTCTTAGAATTGAAACTTAGTCCTTGAAGGTAGATATCACAAGATGCCGATACCCTCCCACCCTCTTCCCTACCTTTCCTCCTCTAGGGGTTTTCATCTGACCTTTAAACCTTCTGTTGCATTGTGGTTTCACGCCTGATCCCTCTTCTTGAAGACAGCCTTTTTGCATAACCTCAATTTGTCTAGTGAAACATTGCAAACCAAAAATTAGGGCTTAGGATCTGATAAACGTGAATGTATTTCCAGGAACAGCAGAATGTAATATTTGACATTCTGTGCAAATTCACTCTAAAGGCAATAATTAGAAAATAAATGTTGAATGGATAGATCGATTGATGAAAAAAGTGTAAATAAAACTCACAAAGTAAACAGTGTATTTATCTACCAGAAACAATTGAATGGTTCTGGAATTAATAAGTTTGAAGACCAAAAACTATATACAAAAGATGGAATAAATTCCTTCAGTTGTGTCATCCCCCTAAGGGTTTGGAACTTTAGAAAAATAAAATACCACTAACCCCTACATCAGGGATCTGGTCCAGCAAATCCTAGTATCTGGTCCAGCAAACCTCTTTGGTTTTATTAAGTAGTTTTAGGGTTGGGAGATGAATTTTCATAAAGGAGTATATCTCCCATCACTCCACTTTTTAACATATTTAATGGGATATCTCCTAATTCACTCAGAAACAAGGTGAATTATCGTGTCCCCAACTAGGAAATGATTAGTAAATGAGAGTTAAAATGATGTTTTTGTTTTATTGTTTTTTTAATATAGAGACAGGGTAGAGTCCTGTTGGTTCATTTCAATAATGATAAAATATCATAATCGAAGAACACAATACACTTATTCACATGTAAATTACCTTTACAATCTTCCTATGAAAGTGGTGGGTATATGTTGTTTTTCCAGAGGGAAGACTGAGTCAAATAGATTTACGCACCTATTCAAGGACAGAGGGTAGAATCTAATCTTTTGATATTCAATGAACTTTTTAATAGTTTCCATTTTTCAAATTTTATTATTATAAGGGCCCAGTGGAGGAGCAAAGAATGGTAAAGACACAGCTTTTTATCCTGAAGGAGTTATGATTTGGATATATACCCTCTACTTAACTATCAAGCAGTTTATTTAATAAGCTTATGTCAGCTGAATTTAGTAATATTTCATTATCTTTCTGTGGATTTACAGTCCTCTCAATATTGTTAAACATAGATGCAATTAGACCATTATGTAATTTATTGATATTACACTTAACTATACAATCAAAAATGAAGAGTGTTGTGATTTAAAATGAGTGGAAATGTTGAGTCTTTGCATAATGTCTGCATATAATAAGACAAAAATATAATGAATTTTATTTAGAGGGTCAAAAGAGGAGTTGCCAGTGAAACTGTTTATTTCAGGTGGTAACAGACGTGGGTGGAATGCCACCAGCCAGAGATACTCCAGTGTTATCCAGCCATCCAGTTTCTCCAAATCTACACCATGGGGGGGCAGCAGAGATCACGAAACGCCATCTTTTGGTTCTTTTGATTCTGGAGCTTCAACTAGCAGGAACAGGGGGTTTGGATTGTCTCAGAACCCATTTGATTCTTCATCTAGCTCTGATGGACAGAAAGATGAAAAGAAACTTCTGTAAGTGAAAGCCTTCAGAAAAATTACTACCCATTTGCTTATTTTTTTTCAAAAGTACTGCCAATATAGTTTTTAAAAATAAGTACTACATTATTTTTAAAATCAGAATAAGCGAAAAGAAAAAGCACACGTGATCCTATCACTCAGATAACCACTATTTTGCATATATCATACTAGACTTTATTTCACTTAAAAATGTGTCATCTTGAAAGAAATCTAACTATGGGAGGTGAACACACAGTGTAAATATATATATGCCTTACTGTTAAAGTATACAGCTGAAACTTACTGGATTTTGTTAACCAGTGTCACCATAAAAAAAAAAAGTCATCTCTCCATATCAGTACAGCGCCTTCTTAGGAATAATTATGCTTTTTCCACTTTTTTATTGATAACACTATATTGTGAATATCATTCTAAGTTTGTCCTTCTTAAGTGTATTGTAAATTATGAGACCTTTACAAAGTATGGAGTAATTTAAAGCAACTTGTATTCTTAGAGGTCCCTTATAGCAGGGTCTCCAACCCCCGGGCCACAGACTAGTACCGGTCCATGGCCTGTTAGGAACCGGGCCACACAGCAGGAGGTGAGCGATGGGTGAGGGAGCGAAGCTTCATCTGTATTTGCAGCCGCTCCCCAGCGCTAGCATCACCGCCTCAGCTCCACCTCAGATCATCAGGCATTGGATTCTCATAGGAGCACCAGTCCCTGGTACCAAAAAGGTTGGGGACTGCTGACTTATAGCATCTTATATTTTTCTTTCTAAAACTTTTACTTCAGTTACCCCATTCAGACTGATTCTCCCAGGTCCCACGATAGAACTTAAATATACTTGTTAGTCTTTTATTTCCCATAACAAAATTAGAATCAGTGGTAAACATTTAGAGCCATGTACCATATACAATTGATTTAAAAAAAAAAAAAGAACAAATGAATCCTTCATTTCTATATCTGATGTTGTAAAAATCCTAAATTAAATATAGATTCTATGTTATATCTATCATTTTATTAATTGTAGCATTCTGGAACCAGGATAGGGGAGATTTAATTTAGAGCCAGATCTAGTCATAGTTTTGCCAACCTATTAACTGCATGGGTATGGGTCTGTTTCTCCTTTTGCAAAATGTGTGAATTAGACAAAATGATCTCTAAAGCCCTACCCACTTTAAAACTGTTATGATTCTATATTACTTTCTTGGTACTTTCTGTCTTTTCCAGCTGAATGATCATTGATGTTTATGATAATGATCAAAGAAAGATTAAAGTTAAAGTTAGTATTTTATGTTTTAGTTCTTTATTTTTTTTAATAAGTGATTTTTTAAATGCTTATTTTTCAATTAGAGTTGACATTCAATATTATTTTATGTTAGTTTCAGGTATACAGCATAGTAGTTAGACATTTATGTAATTTATGAAGCGATCCCCCCAATTAATCAAGTACCCACCTGGTACTATATGTAGTTATTGCAATATTATTAACTATATTCTACGTTTTGGTTCTTTAAATATGTATAATATGATAGTTCTAAATTAAATATATTGGTTCAGTGTACTGGAAAACCAAAATTTTTAACTTCTTCGATATTATAATATCTATAATCATGAAAGATAGTTTACATTTCTGTAAGCTTCTGCTTTAAAGAACACTTCAGAAAATATAATGGAAAATCTAAAATTATATATTTACTGCAATTTAAAATTTTAATTGAAAATTATAAATGATGAATTTTAATAAGCAGATTAAAAAGATTCTTTGCTTTTTTTTTTTTTCCAGGGAAGGAATTGTAAAAGATATGGAGGTTTGGGAATCATCAGGGCAGTGGAAGTTCTCTGTTTATTCATCGGTGAAAAAGAAACCTAATATTTCAGGTAACTGAGAAATTGTGTGTTTTAAAATGTATTTTACGACTATTATTTTCTAAAACCAAGACCATGCCAAATGAAATTAACCACAAACTTAGCCACAGTTAGGAGAGTTGGGACATCGTTTAAAGTATCTGAATATTCTAGCAGCACTTCATAATTCAGAGATCGAGGATGGAAGGCATAGTTCTTTTAAGATATGTAGTTCTCATGAGAAAGTAGTAAAATCAGAACCCCCACAATTCCAATTCTGTAAACCTAGGTAGAGGCTCTGTTTACTCGCTTCCGTGTAAGTACAACTTCAGAACCTCTTGACTGCCTGCAGTGAGTAAAAGAGTCACATCCTGCCTGCCATTAAGGCCTTGGCTGCCTGATTCTGTTTTCTCTTTCTCCCCTATCTTTCCTTCTAAGGATAGTTGTTTTTCATTACGAATGTCAGACCTATCCTGGAGATAATGTTTGAAGGTAAGGAGCTTTAGCTGGACTATAGGGATAGCATTTCTTTAGAATACTCCTTTCCTTCCCATTTTCTCTTGCCTATACTCTGCCCTTTCTGGGCCGAAAGCTAAACCATTTTACTTTCCTAAGCTCACTCTGGGTGGTCCTGGGCCTCTTTGTCCTGTTGAGTAAATAGCAGGTACCTAGCAGATAAGAGCCCTTGCAAGCCCTCAGATCTGGGATCGCTACTCTGTCTCAGATCTATCTACTCAGTCTCTATGAGCACTTGTGCCGCACCATTCCCTAGTTATTTACTCAATCATTCAACAAATTTTTACTGAATTTCTTTTGTGCCAGATCCTAGTCTAAGTGGAAGGGATATAGTGATGAGCAAGAGACAGACAAGATCCCTCCCTAATCAAGCTTATACTCTTGAGGGAAGGAGACAATAAGTCCTACAGATAAATAAGAGAATTTCAGATAGTGATTTTTCATCAGTTCAGAATTGAACCTAATGTCTAGTGCCCTAAAGCAGTGGTTCTCACAGCGTGGAATGTAGATCCCTAAGGAGGGTTGCCAGATACAACATGGGATACCCAAGTAAGTTTGAATTTCAGATAAACAAAGAATAATATTTTTACCACATGAATAGCCCATGTAATATTTGGGACATACTTATACTAAAAAACTATTTGTTGTATGTCCGAAATTCAGATTTAACTGAACATCTTGTATTATTATTTGTTAAATTTGACAACCCTATTTCTAAATCTATGAGGAGACTTGTAGAGGCTGTACAAGTTCAAAAATATTTTCATAATAATACACATTAATTGCCATTTTTAGTGTGTTGATATTTGTACTGTTGGTACAAAAGCATTAATGAGTAAAACTTGTATCTTAGTATGAGTCAAGGCAGAGACAACAAACAATGCTAGCAGACTATAGTAGTCGATTAAAAAATTATGCCATTTTCACTTAAGAATATCCTTGATGAAATAGCAAAACTTATTAATTTTGTTAAATCATGACGCTTGAGTACAAAGCTTTTTAATATTCTGTCTGACCAAATGGGAAGCACACATAAAGTGCTTCAGCCACATACTCAGGTATGATGATTATCTTCAGGGAGAGCACTGGTGTGATCGTTTGACTTGTAGGCTGAACTAATGACTTTTTTCACGGACATTTTTGTTTGAAAGAATGACTTTCAAACAAAGTTTAAAAACAAGTTTAAATGGTTATTTAAACGTAAGTATTTGGTGACATTTTCTTTAAAAAAAATAAATGAAGCAAGCTTGTGACTTTCTTTAAAAAGAATAAATAAAGCAAGCTTGTGACTTCAAAGAAAACAATTGCTAGTGTTTATTGCCAGTGACAAAATTCAAGCTTTAAAGTAAAAACGAATTATGGAAAACTGTTTTCTGCCACTGTGAGCTTGACGACTTCTTAATACTTAAAATCTCCTCTGATCAGATGAATAGTGACATTAACAAATATGAATTTTTCGATATTGTAAAATGACATGTGCCAACATTTGAAATTCTGGATAACTCGGTGAACCAATATTTTCCAAATGACCAATCTGTGATGTTATGAAATTACAGATGGCTGAAAAATCCATTCTAAGTGTAAGATAAACCAGTGGACTTAATACAATAATACAAAAAAATTCATTTATGTGGTTTGAGTTCACATGATAGCTAACCTTTTAGAAACTACCACCTGTCAGGTTTGGGTATAATATCAAAGAAGAATATTCACAATTATCCGAAAAGGCCATTAAAGTCATCCTTTTACAACTACATATCTGTGTGAGAACAAGTTTTCTTTATACACTGCAACCAGGCAGTGTATTGCAACAGATTAAATGCAGGAGCAGATATAATAATCCAGCAGTCTTCTATCAAGCCAAACATTAAAGAGATATACAAACATAAAACAATGCCATTCATCACACTAATTTTTTATTTTTTGCTTTTAGAATATAGTTTTTTCATTTATGTTGATGTGCAATTGTTTTTTTATTTTTAAATAAAATTAAATAAATTCTTCTTACATTTCTCAGTTTTTATTTCAGATATGGTATGCGTAACCCACGTAAGCAAAGCTCTGTGGGATCCTTAATGATTTTTAAGAATGTACATAATTAGAGAACCTCTGTCCTTAGACATCCATTATAATGAATTAACTTTTCCTATGCAGCTAGCATGATGCTACTTTTGGACCACCCCTGAGAGAACTGAGAAAATAGTCAATCAGATCATTTTCTATGTTCTGTGGTTCAGATGAGGAACAGCTGGAAGGAGGAGAAAGTAACTAGAGGGACAGTGTTCCTTTAGATAGAGTGGTTATTTCATCCTCAGCAGGCAGTATTGGAGCTGAGTCCTGAACGAAGAGAAGATGTCACTTGAGGGAAGATTTGGGGGAAACATTCCTGCCAATATGAGTAGGTAGTGTAAAGGCCTTAATGGGAACAAGGTCAGCATGTTTGAGGCCAAGCGAGGCCTGAATCTTCAGAGAAGAGTAAACACGGGGAAAAGAGATATGACATGAGACCAGAGTCAGCCAGGGGCTAGGTCATGTTGGGCCTGATTGCACTGGGCAGCAGCCGTGAAGAGCTTTCCACAGGAGAGGAAAATGATCTGATTAGAAAAAGCTCACTCGAAGAAAATGGTCTGTTTGGGGCAGTGTAGGGAGGCAAAGTAGAGGCAGGGAGATGAGTTAGGAGACAATTGCTGATGACTGGCTTAAAGTTACTAGCAGTGGAGACAGAACTGGTCAAACTTAGGCTCTGTTTTAGAGCTAGAACTGGCAGGATGTTGATTAGATATGAGGAAAGAGAGAAATGCAAGGTAATTCCTAGGTTTTTTGGCCCAAGCAGTTGGTAAAGACAAATTAGGAATCCAGGGTTCGGATTTGAATGTTTAGCCTTTTTTTATTCTTGGGGTAGGGGTCCTTGGAGTTGATAATATCTGAGTTATAATTCTCTGTTGACAATATCCTAAAAATTTTTTTTTCTTAAAAAGTTTTCCTCTGCCAATAATGATAAATATAATATAGAAGATGGGTCTCTAATTGAAAACAAGTTAAGGCAGTGCGTTCTTTTCTGAAGGTAGAATTTGATTTATGATAATACATTTCTAGAGATCAACAAAAATAATTGGGAAGGAACAAATTCAAAGTAGTTATTAAAAACTTTCTGAGTGTTTTCTATAAATGTAATACAAATATAATTTATTCATAACACTTATAACTTCTAGATTTGTCAATTTAAAATTCAGTAAGGGTATGCATGTTAAAAAAAAAGTTTTCCTAATTATAAAAGTTGTAGTTATTGCCATAGAACACTTGAAAAATAAAGAAATATTTAAATAAAATAAAGATCACATAATCTCACAGATAACATCTAACATTTTAGTATATTTTAAAATATGTGCACACAAACTTATTTCTTGTTTATATATATAATTGGGATCATAATCCAGTTTTTTATTCTACTTTGTTGTTTTTAGTTTGTTTCTATTACTAAAAATGCTATAATGAATATCTTTATATATAACACCCTTTGTTTACACATCTAATTATTTTTGAGGTTAAATCCCAGAAATTCTATTAAGGTCAGAAGGTGTGAACATTTGTAAGGCATTTGACACTTATTGACAATTTTCCTCCAAAAAAAGTACCTTTTTAATTTCCTTAACAGCAATTTAGGGCAGTATCCACCTCACTACATCCCCACATCCTTAATAACAATAAATAACGTTCATTTTTAATTTTTGCCAGTCTGATAAGTAAAGCATTTTATCTGTGTTTTGACTTATATTTTTAAATAGAACTTTTTAATTTCACTTATTTAATGGCTATTTGAATTTTTTTGTGACTTGCCTGTTTATTATCTTTGCTCATATTAACTTTTTTTCTTATTGATCTGTAAGAGTTATTTATACATTGACATTAGCTCTTCTGTCCTGTTGCAATTATGATTTTCCCAGCTTATCATTTGCCTTTTAATTTTGTTTATTGTAGCTTCTGACATACAAAGAAATTTGAATGTATGTATAGTCAACTCTCTTCCTTCCCTTTGATATTCCTTCTATTTACCTTTAAAAAAAATTTTCCCTTTCAAAGATCAAATAATCAACTATATTTTATTCTAATTTTATACTTTGTTAAACATTAAAGAGAATATAGGCTTTGCATTTTTTTCCTTATGATTATGAAAATTTTCTAATGATCACATTAGCATATTTTCTTGTCTAAAACCTCTAGCTTTACTACACTATTGAAAGTATTGGCATTTATTTTAAAGATTCCAATTGATTCCTCACTTCAGGTTTTACAGACATTTCACCAGAGGAGTTGAGGCTTGAATACCATAACTTCTTAACCAGCAATAACTTACAGAGTTATGTAAGTTTGTTTCCTATTTATCTACCTCGATAACAGACTAGCTGTTAATGACTGTCCTGTTTGTGGTGGCTTGCTTGTGTTGGCAAAGTGGATGAGGTCTATCCTTTTTTTAGGACAAGGCTATTTTTATTTTCTAAATTACTTTCTTTGAAACTGGTTGGTTATCTAAAATGGTAATACTATATTTAGACAGTAATAACAAGCACTGTCATTTTGTTACAAATTATCCAGCAATCAGTCTCAAAAATCAAACCCTTTCTTCACTTGACAACCACTTATGGAGCATTTCTTAGGTGCAGACACAAAGTTAAATAAAGCAGTCGTTATACAGATTAACATTCTCACACACCAGATATCAAAAAATAAAAAAGCTGGGCTTGAATAAGTTGAGCACCTAAAGGAAATGACTTAAACTTTGTATGTTTCTGTTGTCTGCAGTCATGATCATGCATTTTAACTAGTACACATGTTCACCTCCCATCCAAATATAACTAGATCTGTGCTGCCAAGTGATTCTTAACCAAGTGATGTAGGAGTTGGAGAACAGAGAGAGGGGACAGCAGCTGGAATATCTTTGGCAAATAGAGGCAGGTCAATGCAAATTTTATAAGTTACAGCCATAAAAATGTTTTATACACTTTCCATGATTTTGACAAAGATGTGAAATAGTTGTTTGACTCATTATTTTCCTGTCTTCTCTCTTCAGCTAAATTCTGTCCAACAGTTAATAAATCAGTGGAAGAACAGAGTAAATGAACTGAAAAGTCTAAATACATCAACTAAAGTAGCTTTGGTGAGTATTGGAGAGTTTGCTACAGAGAAGTATTTTATCTATTGCTTTTTTGCAGAGAAATTCACTTTGAATTTGAAAAGCAAAGCTAAAATTTTCTATCAAGAATTATGATACACACATTCTCAAGAACTATATCAGCATTTAGAGGCAAAGTCCTGGAATTGCTTTCTCTCTGTTCCTCAGCTAAAAAAGCACAGTTAATCATGCTTTTTTAAAACTATTTTTGGGGTAAAGTTTTAAACTTTGGAATTACTAATTTTGAAAATTGGAAAATATTACATGAAGTCAAGTATTCCAGGTTATCAGCATTTAAAAAGAAATAGCTTTGAAAAACAATATGAATAGACATTTAGACTGAGGTACGCTTTTGCCATTGTAGGACATTTGACTCACCATATGTTTTTTTCTCCTATACAGAAGTGCCTTTAGGAGATATATACCCACTTGTCTCCAAAGAGACACGATCCTGACTGTAGCATATTCATTATCTCTGTCAACAAAGTTATGATTTTTTTACCCACATAAAAAGTTCTAGAGAACCTTATTTTTAAGTGAGATATTTACATTTATAATTAATACTTCCAGTTTTCTAGGCAGTTTACTTTCTTAAAACGGTTATGAGAGTAGTTGCTGCCTAAACTTAGCAAATGACTATATGACAGTCCCAGCACCACCACCACCCCAAATATGTGCTTCCTAAATAACTAGACTCTTGTGCAAGCTGATTTCTTCCAGCTTTCAGTTGTTGTTAATGCCATTTGAATTAGTACGACTTCTTGGGAGTATTCTATCCCTAGGTGAGAGGCGGCTCGCCATCACCATTGCTGAGAGCTAGTACAGGAAGGGATAATGGAGTTTAAGGAACTACAGAACTTCCCTCGGGATTGGAAGTCCCCTGCTCTTTGCCAGCTTCCTAAGGGCCCCTCTATGGTGAGGATCTTGGACAACTGGCTTAGCATGTATCAGTAGTTCATTCTTTATGCTGAATAATCCATTCTTTATTCTTTTAATTCATTGTCTGAATATAATTTATCCATTGTCTGAACATAATTTACCTTTTAATAAATATTACACTATTTATTTTATACATTGTCCATATTGTCTGAATATAATTTACCTTTTAATAAATATTACACTAAGGAAAAGAAGCTAGACAAAAAAAAGAGCACTCACTAACGATTCCATTTATATTAAACTCTAGACAAGACAAACCTTGTCTATAGTGACAGAAAGCAGATGAGTGGTTCCCTGGGGGCCAGGAGTTGGGAGAGGGTTGACTGGAAAAGGGACACGAGGGAACTTCTAGGGGGGATGGAAATGTTCTAAATCTTGATAGTGGTAGTGGTTGTAAATTTGTCAACACTCATTAAAGTGTGTGTGTGTGCGTGCATCTGTGTTTGTATAAAATGGATGCATTTCACTGTATGTAAACTACCTCAGTAAAGTTGATTTTTAAAATATGCTGCTTTTGGGGCTCTCAAACAGAGAAATCATATCTGCTTGAGTGGATTAGGAAAGGAAAGGCTTCTTGGAGGTGAAGCGTAAGTGAGAAGTTCCTTGAAAGGGAGATTAAGATTTCAATAAGCAGAGATGAAAGACATTTCTAGAGCAGGAAATAGCAAGAACATAAAGTATTTGCAGGAAATAGGAAATGTTTTCATAGATTTTAGTGGTAAGCTTTTAGAATGTAATTGTGAAGCAACTTCAGTTCAAGCTTTAGCGTCAGTAGACTGGGTAACCTCTAAGAGTCCCTACCTAATTATCTAGGTTTCTTGATAAATGCACATCAGCCCATAGACAGTGAAATGTTTTATTAAAACATATTTTTCTGATTTTAACATGTATTCATTGACGATATTTAGAAACTATTTAAAAGCATAAATAAAATTAAAATCACCCATGATGTTTCATCAGCAAATTACTCTTAAGATCCGTCTTTAAGGTTGGTCCATTTTTTTCTATGCATATTTATAGTGTGGCATTTTTCTATGTTAAACACTTCATATTTTAAAAATTGAATTTGAACTAAAGTATATAGAAAAAGTACTTGAGAATTATCCATTGAGCACTTTATTATTTGCCTTTTTTTAATAGCTCTCTGATCTAAAGGATGGAATAAATCAGGCGGCACCTGCATTCGGATTCGGCAGTAGGCAAGCAGTAACATTTGGGTCATCAGGTAAGTGGTAAAGTAATACAGACCTCACTGATTTAGAAAAGGAGGATTTTATACATTTCAAATCATAAAGCCTGAGGTTTGTTAAGTACCATTTAAAATCACCTTGCAGATTCTACCATCTTCCATAATGGAGCTCCAGAGAACTTGGCTCATCAAGCATTTGTACTATGGGGGCCAGAATGGGCATGCTTGTTGAAAAACCCTATGGCTCAGGCTTTAGAAGTGTATATTAGAAATGGTTCGTCAAGAGTTTCATAGCTATGGTAGCAGCACCTTTGGGGACTTCCTTGTCACTGTGTAAGACATAGTATTATCCTCGAGCAGCAGCTCGGGTGAGAGGGGCTAAGCTGAAAGGGAAAGTTCACTCCCTAACCTCCGAGGTTTCTTAAAGCTGCCTCCTTGAGCGAAGGCCCCTCACAGTGCCAAAGAGATCGGCGTAGCAGAAAGACAGGACGACAGAGTCTAGTGGGTTTGTTCTAGCTTCTCATTGTCATTTTCCTCCCTTCCAATAAGCTTCTCAATGTCCAAACATGGCAGGAATAAGGGGAACGTAGGGATGAGGTGGGGGGTAATGTGGCTACATTTTCTTACTATAATAATTTTGTTGTTTTTTTGGTTTTTTTGGAGGTTTTCCTGTGAATAACAGCAGCAGTGATAGTGCTCAAAATTTTAGTTTTAAAACAAACTCTGGATTTGCCACTGCCCCTTCTGGAAGCCCTTCTGCGTTCGGGAGTACGCCAGCATTTGGAGCTGCGCCTTCTGCCACTTCTGCCGCCACTACTTCTACTCCAGCTCTTGGATTTGGGAAACCTAAAATCACATCTGCTGCTTCGTTTTCATTCAAAACCCCTGCAGCTTCTGGTTTCGGATCACCTGGCCTGTCAGGATTTCCAGCGTCCATGGCAGGAGGCCCTGCTGGGGGTCCAGGGGCCCTGGCCTTCGGGAGCAGCAGTTCTGCGGCTGGCTTTGGTGGTCCAGGCTCACATTCTCACACTGCTTTTTCCACGTCTTCCAGTGATGCCTTTAGAAAGAACAGCATCCCCACCTCTCTCCCCGTCTCACACGGCAGCACGACAGGTAATGCGTTATTCACACCCAAGGATCAACTAACAGCAGAAGAACTGGAACAATTTCAGTCCAAGAAATTTACTCTGGGAAAAATCCCATTGAAGCCACCGCCTATGGAACTTCTAAATATTTAAAAGAACAATTTTAAATACAGAAAAGAACAGCTTTTAAAATTGTTTTGAGTGGTTCATATAAAAAGGCAGATATACACACATATGTATATACATATATATTTAAAAGGAATATAGCTTTCAATAATAACTTTAGGGGTTTGAAATTGAACATTTTTTCTTGAGCCTAAGGAAACTCAGCAAGAGATTTTTTTTTTTAATTGCTGTAATCATGAATAGAATTAAAAAACTGTCAGTGTGTGCTGAATAAAGTACTTTTCTCATTCTACGTCACTTTACTATCTTAACCTTTAAAGTTTTCTCTTTAAACATTTCTTCTTTCAGGAAGGAGAGAATGTTTAGAACCATTGGGGGGAAATGCTTAAATATATAGCCTACTTCCCAAATAACATCAGTAGCATGACTTTCCTTCATGTTAAAGAAGATTCTCTTAAAAGAAGAAATAAGTTTTTAAAGGGTGAAAATTTTTATTTTTAGGACCTAGAAGGCATTTTCCCCTCATAGTTTTGTTTCCCTTCAATTTTGTCTGTCTCTTGGACCACTATTTGAGTTCTCTTCAACAATTTTAGGCTAACTTTTATCTTAGCCTTATTTTTTCATAATTCTGTTTATTCCTTACATTATCAAGTGATTGGATTGTAAGAGGAATAGAAAATGTGATCTCATTCACATACTGTATGTAGAAGGGTCAAGATTCAAAGCTCTGTTTCTAGAGCATTTATTAAAATTCTCAGACATGCTTGGATCCCCCTGTGTCCTCAGATGGAGGGAGTAATATATATCTTAAAATTGCTTGATCCAAGAAACCAAAGACCTGTCTTGAGTTGAGGCACATGTGTCAGAGCTCTGTGCTCCTTTCTCAAGCCTCAAAAATTACACAGCTAGCACTGCAAGAACAGTTACCTAATGTAGATCTGGTATTGAGCTGTTTTTTTTTTTTTTTTTATTGTCCATGGAGACATTTTATTTGCACATATGTACTATATCTCTAGAAAAAGAATCCCAAGATTTTCCCTCCTGTGCGTTTTCATCTTGCTTTTTCATGGTCCATGATGCCTGCTGAAGTGGTCAGTATAATGAAACCAAACTGACAGGGCAGGAGCACGTGGTTCTGCCATTTTTCTAGATATTTGAGTTGCACATCAAATCTGAGGCTGATCCACGCTTGTTTCACCTGCGCGTGAAGTTCACAATTTTCCCAGCTCTGTGATCATCAATGATTTCAAATTCACCAATGTAACCACGCTTCGTCATCACAGTTAGAAACCGCACGACGACTTTGGAGCACAGCCTAATAAACACCTGGCGTTAGCCTCTCTTTTCAGCATTGTTGAGGCTCCTGGGCGCATCGGCCAGCACATTCATACTCACCATTATGGTGGCAGGGAAAGATGGAAAGAGCTAAGCTGATTGTTAAAGCGAAAATAAAACCTTACCTAATAAAAGATACGCACACCAAATGATTTTAGCATCTATGCGAATGATAAAGTCCTCAGAGAATCCGGATTCTCTGTTACACTTTTTGAAGAACTATGTGGCTCCCACGAACTGTTCTGGAATCCTAGCATTTGAGATCGAATCTGTACCTGAGGGCTTCATGTTTGAATCCATCCTTGGTGTAGAGATGATAAATAGACTCTAAGTTCCTGCATTGGCCTCCAGCTCTGAAGACTTTCCAGTGTTTATTCCAACTTGCAATTGACCCAGAATTTTCCTTCCATGATGCGATGAACCCTACACTCCCATAGCTTGGTTACAAGCTTACCAGGCTCCCTTGGGTCCCGACTGAACTTCCCAGTGTCCTGGAGCCCTGAGGATGCAGGCAAGGGTCCAGTGTTTCTAAACGTGCCTGATTATAATGATCACATGGATACTTGTCAGTATATTCACTGCACTAGGCCTGGGAATTTGTGTTTTCTACCAAAGCTTCCACGAGATCACTCAAGCAAGTTTGGGAAACAGGAGGCTAAACCAGCTGGCTGCATTTAGGCTACTTAGTAATATATGAGATTTGGGAGTTTTGACTTAGTTATTGAAGTCTGTTTTCTATGCTGACTCATGCAATGTGGTGAACTTAAGGAGATCCAAAGTTGTCAAATAGTACAGTTATCAAAAAGCACAAATAAATGTTTCGGATTACTTAAAAGTGTGAGAAGCTAAAGCAAAGAAGTCCACAAAGTGGAAGCCAGCAGTGTGCATGCTTACTGGTATCAGGAGTCTGAGAAGGCTAGGAACTTCTAATCCTAGACTCAGGGGCAGCAGGGCTCCAGAAAATCAAATAGGTCACAATGGATGGTGGCCAGGCATAAAGGTAGATCGAGTCAAGACCCTGAGAGGGAGTAAACGGGAAAAGGCAACCACGAGAGCATGTGCCATCTGAATTTATTCAGTGAGGCAAGAACCAGTTCTAAAAGAGCTGGTCTAACGGAAAGGTGTACCCCAAAATAAGCAAAATCAGCCTCCCTTCACACTGCTGCATCAGCTGTCCCTTTCACCTAGGACTTAGAGCAAGTGACAGAATTGCAAATAAGGTTTTATTACAAGCAAACTGATTTGACTAGATTATCTGATCATAGATTAGAAGGGGAGAAGTGTAACCGGTGAGAGCTGATCTAGAAGGGGAGAGATAAAAGGAGCTGATAGTAAGACTGTAAAAGGCATAACATGATTTAGTTACACAGTATCGTTTATAAGAGTAAAATAATTCAACCTCTTCTCCAATGAGAGGAAATCAGTTGATTTGTAGTAGATTCATATTGGAATACTAAACAGCCTTTCTAAATGACCTAGAAGAACAGGGAGTAACTTGGAAAACTTTCATTCTGTAGTCAGTGGGCACAAAGCCTGTTAGGAAATAGCATGTACAATGTGATCCAATTTGGGGAAAAGTATATCTATAGGGAGGAAACCCTAAAAGTTAATAATAGCTTGGATTTGGTTTTTATTTTTCAATTGTGGTTAAAAAAATACATAACATCACATCTACCATCTTAACCATGTTTAAGCATATATAGTTCAGTAGTGTTAAGGAGTGTGCACAGTATTCACATTGCTGTGCAACAGATCTCTAGAACTATTTCATCTTGTCCTCCTCCCCTCCCTCCCTGGCAACCATATTTCTACTTTCTGTCTCTATGATTTTGACTACTCTAGATGCCTCAGATAAGTGGAATCAAACAATAGTCCTTTTGTAACTGGCATATTTCACGTAGCATAATGTCCTCGAGGTTCATCCATGTGGTAGAATGTGAGAGGATTTCCTTCTTTTTAAGGTTGCATAATATTCCCTTGTATGTATGAACCACATTTTCTTCATTTATCTGTCTGGAATTTGGGTTGCTTCTACCTCTTGGCTACTGTGAATAATGCTGCAATGAACATGGTGTGCAAAGATCTCTTTGAGATCCTGATTTTAATTCTTTTGCACATATACTGAGAAGTGAGATTGCTGGATTATATTTATCCTCTTTGGAGTTTTTTGAGTTTCGTGGATTTGTATATCCATATCTATTCTTGGATTTTGGGAAGTTTTGGGCCATTATTTTTTCAAATAGGCTCTCTGCCCATTTTTTCCTTCTTCTGGGACTTCCATAATGTATATGTTGTTTGGTTTGATGGTGTCCCATAAGTCCCTTAGGCTCTCGTCATTTTTCATCCGTCGTGTTTTTTTTGTTGTTTTTTGTTTTTTGTTTTGCTCCTATGCCTCAGTAATTTTGAAAGTACTGTCTTCGAGTTCACCAAACATTTTTTTTTTTCTTTTTTTGGCCTGGGCAAGTCTGATCTTGAGTCCCTCTAGTGATTTTTTTTTTTTTTTAAGTTCAGTTTTTGTTTTCATTTCCAGAATTTCTCTTTGGTTCTTCTTCATAGTTTCTGTCTCTTTGCCAATAGTCTCATCTTGGTCATGCACTGTTTTCCTGATTTTGTCGAATTGTCAGTCTGTGCTCTCTTTTAATTCGTTGAGCATCCTTATGATGGTTATTTTGAATTCTTTGGTAACTCGTGTGTCTCTGTTTCTTTATGGTTAGTTTCCGTAGATAAAATTTGTTCCTTTAAAAAAATGAAATAAAAATAGAATAAATTTGTTTCTTTAAAATGGGCCATGTTCTCTTCTTTCTTTGTATATCTTTTTACCATCCGTTGGGATTTCAGCATTTAAAAATTCAGCCATCTCTCCCAGACTTTGCAGTCCAGTTTCATACAAGGAGGACTATTCTCCATTCAGCCCTGCTAGAGATTCTGGAGACCCCTCAAACCTTTTCTGGGGGTGCTTCCTCTCTGGGCCTGTGCGTAGTCTCCTAATTGAAGAAGTTTGCCTTTCTCTACTCAGGAGCTCTCCCTGGTGTCTCTGTGATACTGTGGCCTCAGTTGCGCTAAAGTATGAAATGGTACTGGAGCTCCACCTGGTGTTTGTCTCTGATACTGCAGACTCTGGTGCACGTTGATCACTCTCAGAGGCCAAGCTCCAAACGTGGCTCCTGCTTCTTGTCGGTACTTGGATTCAGGCAAGAGAGAAACTTGTCCTTTGGGCAGTCCACCTACAAGTCAGAACGTGAGAAGTGCATTCTACTCCTTTCCTCCCTTCCGGAGAAGATGGGGATCGGGTGTTTCCCCTCATCTCTCCACACAGTGCCAGGAACAGGGCTCTGGAGAGAGTGCCCCAAATTTTCCTGCCAGGCTTTGACATGGTTGGCTTTGTACTTGCCTGGAGTACAAAGGAACCTTTTAATTGGGTTCCAGATTTTTCACAGAAGCAATCGGTCCATGTATTGCTGTTAAATTCAAAGGTCCATGGAGGAAGAAGAATTGAGGGTTTCCTGTTCCACCACCTTGGAACCACCTCCAATAGCTCTGTTCTGCTTTTAATGAGCTTTTGCATATGTCAGACAGCATCCTAAGTCCTTTACATCTGTTAGTTAATGTAGTGCTCACAACCATATGATCTAGTTGCTATTATCATGATCCTCATTTTCTAAGTGAGAAAACCAAAATATGGAGATGTTAAATGACCCATCCAAGGTCACTCCACTAACAAGTGGTTAAATTGGAATTCACACACAAGACTTAGAAGCCCATGCTTTTATGACCATGAAGTACTAGATACTAGATTATGGAGTTTGGGTCTCTGTTTTGTTTTTGTTCGGGTAGTCGGTCGCTTATCGGCATTTTCTACAATACGCATGCATTATCCTTGTAATACATGTGTCTCCCACTTTCCTCATAGGTGTGTCATTTGTGGGATGGAGTGTAAGCATTTTAGATGCCGAAGGC